CTTTAGATCAATGGCACTAAAAACCTTGTTCGTCGCTACAGTGGATACTAGATCATCTATGTTTGGTAAGGGATAGGCGTCTAACAGAGTAAATTTGTTTATCGTTTGCGAATAGTCCACACACAGTCGCTTCTTCCCTTTGTCGTTTGTAACAACCAACACCTGTGCACGCCAAGGTGACGAACTGGGTTCAATGATCTCCTCAGTCTGTAGTCTTTCCATTTCTTGTTTTATAAATTGCATATCTTCATCTGAGTAACGTCGTGATTTTGTGGCTATTGGTTGACAATCTGGAGTTAAATTGCAGAATAGTTTGGGTGGTTCAACTTTGGCACAGGAGCACACTAACAGAGGAGGTTTCTTACCTCCAAACCAAACCTGTATATTTGAGTGGAGTTTCATGATATCATGTCCGATAAGCACGTCAGTACAAAGATCTTCAAGAACAGTCAACTTAAAATTGTTGTAATTGTGATTCAACAGATTTAGGTTGATTTTAACAAACCCGTGGACGTTTGATTTCATATTAGAAGCAGCTAGTGATACTTGTCCACTTTCATTATACATTTTAATTTTGTTTAACTGAACAAACTTCAAGTTTACAAAGCTTGATGTACTCCCGGTGTCTATTAAGCAATTTGCTTTCAGGCCATTCACTTTAGCTTCAACTGTAGAGTCCTTCAATACAGATGTATTATGTGTTGTTGCTATTAGTGCAGCTGATGTACTAGACGTCTTCTGTTTTACTTTAAAATGTTGAGTTGGATTACTTTTACAGACTCTCGCATAATGCCCTGTCTTGTTACATTTCCCACAAGTTGCTTCTCTGGCTGGACAGCGATCTCTAGAGTGTCTGTCATGCCCACAAAAATGACACTTGCCATCAACATTTTTAATAGCGGACACAGTCGCTTCTTCCTTTTGTTGTATTGGGAATTCGTACTGACAAGCTTGCTTTGCCAATTCATTTGTTGCACAAGTTTGCATTCCGTTCATAGATTTTGGATAGCTCTCGACTTGAGCTTGAGCCATTTCAAGAGCTCTAGACTGTTCCACTGCTTCAACTAGGTCTAAAGTTTTATTTTCAAATAGTCTCTGCCGTATGTATGACGAGGCTAAGCCATTGATAAAAGCATCACGAATGTAGTGATCCCTGTATTGAATCGCATTAACAGCTTCAAAAACGCAATCTTGGCTCAAAAGTTTCAGTTCCGACACATATTTGTCAATAGTCTCACCTTGTTGCTGTTTTCTAGTCATTACTAAATATCTTGAGAATATTTCATTCTTTTGTTTGATGTAAATTGAGTTAAGAACTCTCAAAGCGTCTTGGTAAGTTTCAGATTCCTTGATAAATCTATAAGTAGTAAAAGATAATCGATTAGTTAGTAGTTTCAGTTTGTCCTTGTCTTCAACGAATTCTGTCATGGTTAGAAAGTCTTCGAATGTTTGTAACCAGTGCGTCCATTCCTCTGAGGCAATTGGAGATTCCGGGTCAATTTGCAATTTGTCTGGTCTAAGGAATTTCTCCACTGTAATGTAGCACTAACTGAGTTTATCAATGAATGAATAAAATTGTTGTAAGAAAGACTTAGTAAACCAAAAGTATGGCTTTTATTCATTCAAAATTACAACCATGTTTTAGTTAAGAACAAATACAATATTTACAAACAAATCAAATAATAAATATTATCAGGTGATAATGTTCACATCACCACAATGTACCTTGTTTTATAGTCAAATCGAAAGCTCTTGCCTTGCACAAATACTTGTAATACTATCATCTAAGTTATAGGTGTATATATATTTTTTAAAATATTTAAAATAGAGCTACAAAACTTTGCAAGGAGTATAACACACAGGACATAAACATCTATTTGATTACATATTCAGTGATTCGCCACTTCTTCAGGGGGGCGGCCCGCTAGGAGCCAGAAGAAAATCTTGAATAAGATTGATTTATTGTGCATATCAATAAAAGTCCTTGATTGCTTTATTAGTAAAAAATAAAATGCCGCTGCTGCAAACCCGAACTCAAACGGACAACCAATAGTTCAACTGACAGCTATTCATACGTTGAATTTAAATTTATGTTATACGCTCAACGATCACATAAGATCAATAAATGGAGCATGGGCATCGTACAATTAATTGAATCACTTACTAAACAGCTGCTTATTTGCATTAGCAGAATTGAAAACAAGCTGGAAGTCGTTTTGAGTCTCTTTTCTTCATCTACTCCAAAGGGTTGATTTGTTAATATTTAAAACCTTATAGTTGGATCAATTATAAGTTCCAATTTTAGATTTTGTAACATATATTAAAATGTCAAATCTTCTGTTTTGATCCACCATCTCCAATGCAATGTATTTATCCCACTACTTGCCATTCTTTTTTCCGTTGTTTTTCTGCGATCATTGATTTTACAGCATGGTGTCTTGCATTACGCATTAAAGGCACCAAAGGGAATAATAGTTCACCACACGGGTAAAAAGTGACTATTTAACCCTAGCTAATTTTCCAACCTCGGCTTTGCATCGATCGTAAAACTTGACCTCGGGTAAAAAACAATCAATTAGGCCCTATTAATGACTTAAACTATTTATTTATTATAAATATCAACCTATGCTTACATTTAGGATTTTCACCGACTCCTAGCGGCCCTGAGGAAGTAGCGGATCACTGAATGTGATAAAATAGATTTTTATGTCCAGTAACTTTTTGCAAAGTATTTGTATCTCTATTTTAAATATTCCAAAAACATATTATTTAACCAATCCGGGACTGTTTAGACCACGGCCACCTTTAACTACAGGCCGCGGCCTGGTAGAATTGGCAACGTTGCAAGTGGTGTTGCATAGCGCCAGACGTCCCATAAGATAAGATGGCAGACAGGTGACACCAGCTCACTAATTTGCTTATTATTCATTTAAATTTAAATTTGTGAACATAAATTTATTAAAAGATTGAAAATAAAAGACATAGAATTGAAAACTAAAACAATATTTAAATTAAAAATCTATTTTTGTATATTTAAAGTAGACTCAATATTTTCATAGCCCAGTAAACATGCTTTCATATTATAAAAAAAATACACAAATGCCATTAGCTGCTTCCAAACAAAACAGCTGTTACAACACTACTTGCGACGTTGCCACTTCGAAGGCCGCGGCCTGGAGTTAAAGGCGGCCGTGGTTTAGACACTCTGTATAAAATCATGCATGTTTGCCCGTCGTTTGTTTGTCTTTTATGCGTTACCAAACCGGCGATCGTGATGAAACCTTGGGAAGTTGTTATATATACACCCCTGGGAAGGTATGTGTGAATTAACATTTTGAAAAATTTCTCAGGGCTCTGCCCCAGGGGTCTTTTAAGTCCCCATGTTATTCTTATGGAGAAAAGAGTTGCTGTATACATTTGAACGGATGATTACTTTTGAACTATCAATCAATGATAAAAATTTCCATCTCTTGAACAATTTGGTTTATTCGTGATTCATCAGCGAGCTTTAGGATCTCCGATTTTAATTATCAATAACTCAAATGAAAGCTGGTATTTTATTGAAGGTTCTTAGGCCAAAGTTTTTCACTGAAGGTTTTTTAGACCAATGTTAATGTAGTTAGAACTGGTGAAATAGGCCTACATCTTTAATTGAATGAAGTATTCGAAAAAATCAAGTTTATGTTTTCTGGTCGAGTTATATAGTAGGTAAATAAAATCATCACTGCTTAATAGCAAATATGAGCGTGCGTTTAATTTAAGACCAACATTATGAAAATCGGTAAGTTAGAAGAGCCAAACGAACTCGGAATATAAAACCCAAGTTTAACTCACATAAGAAATGTACTGGGAGGAAGTTGCTTTTGGGCATGACTTGAAATATACGTCAAATATATGAATGCCTATGCTTGATTGAAAATCTGTGCGTGGAAACACCTTTAATTCAAGACCGAAATTAGGCAGATCTCGGAAAAGAAAAACAAATATTTTTAATATACCTATATAGATTCTGGAACCGTAATGTATCAACCTAACGTTGACCGTTTGCAAAGAAACACTTGATTAAACATCTTGAAGTGAGATGATGTTTTACCGATTAATTAGATGCTTCCATGTTAATATGATACTGTATTTTATCTGTAAAATGATCTGAGAATTTCGTGATCCTGGCACTTGCTGGCTGGTATAACGCTTATTTAACCTACAGAATTCCCTATTTGTTGTACAGTAGTTACATGGGGAATGAATCATTCCAGAGCTATTATGGCGGGTTCTGATTGCTCCGGGACCTGTTGGGGGGCTCTATCCGGGTAAGTTGATAGGTGTGAACCATTTGAGTATTAAGTAGGTACGCAGTGTGGAATTCGGGCCTACCACTGGAGGCTAAAACTTAAACAGCCAAGTCGATTTGAGGAAATATCAGAGAAAAAAGTATTAGGTAGTTTATTACTTGTGTATTTGGTACAGTTGTGATTGTTTATGTTATTTATCAGATAATAGCCATGGCTGGGACGGTGGGGTTGTCCTATATTCCAGCTACTAAGAGGTAACGAATTGTTGATATTTATAGGCATGCACTGTGAATACGACGCTCCCTGGTGTGGATTAACGTCTGCTCTAGTGAGTAGCACGACTATATTCAGTACTATCCTGATAATTAGACTAATTTGTTGATTACAAGGAAAAATGTGGTTTGGATTCCATTATAAACTAGTAGGTCCCTTGGTTGCCATTGGCTGTATGAGCTATAGGAACATGTCGGCCTTCGTCACTAATAAGTCTACAGGATCACGCCACTCATCCTTCACTCATATTTCGGTTAAAATACGCGCATAGTGTCGACCCAAATGATAATTGATAACTAAAATATATTTTACCTAGACAATTTTTAAGAAAGCTTAGTAGATTAACAAAATGGGATGGTAAGTGGAGAGTCGTCTCTGCTATAAAATAAATTATAATTTACAGATATATATACAAAATACATACCTACAATACGTAATATACATGTCTATTTACAATGGAGAATCAAAATGTATAGTTAAAATCCGTCTAGTGCACCCGGTTTTCTCCAGTCACAGTTGGCTGTCAGATTGTCGCCAAGTCTCGCAATTCCAGTGACGATGGCCAAGAAATCTGACTTGGCAACTCGTTTGGTGGTGTGGCCAATGGCGTGCCAACCATCCACGATCTCCTGCAAAACAATAAAATTATAAATAAATAAAATGAGACTAAACGACTGGAAAGTTTGGTACATTTTATATGTTACTTTATTGGCACGGACGTGAAATACCTGTCTCTCCTCCATATTAGAAACTACCAAAATATCCTCAAAATTGATAACTAATTCGAAAAAGTGAACTAGAAGTAAAAAACTAAGACGTAATACTTATATAATACTATTGGTTTTTACCTGCAGAACACCATACTCATAAGATATATTCATTGGAACCAATTGGTGATGAAATCTTGGCATGTCGATTGCTTCCTTGATATTTTTTCCAAGAAAGAGATTCCTGATAGTAACCTGGAGAAGGAAACATTTAGAGTCTATTAATAAAGTGAAATTATTAATATTACTTCCGCAACCATCATTGCTGAAACATCATGTCTAAACCATTGAGTGTATACTCTGGTACTCTTAAACCATAATTTTCAACTGTAAAAAATAGAGGCATAGAAAATTTCTTGAGTAGTATAGTTATAGAGACCTAGTTTACAGCACGAGCGCCGCACACCAAACTGTCTCCGAGTGGAATCACAGACTAAAGAAAAAAGTAGATAATATGTCTAATCTTTCTAGTTCTAACTGTGGTGGAACTAACTATTAACATTTTAACCGTTATTATAGCACGGATTTACTTTTGCTGCAGAATGAAATATGATCAAAATGTCGCGCAAAACCACAATGCAATAGTAATGTAAGTTAAATTGACTCCCTACCAATCTCCATTGATAAGCTAAGGAAAAATAGTCGCCACAAGAATAATTGAAAAGAGGAACTTGGCGCATCAAATGAACGTATGGAGCCTTAAAAATGTACTGAGTGAATGTAAAAAGCGAGTACAGTAATTACCAAAGATGTCTGTGTTGTTATTTTTGACCCCCCAGCTCCCCCAACGACGAGTCTCACATCTCCCTGACTATCGACGACTATGGTGGGAGCCATCGATGACAGCGGGCGTTTGCCGGGCTGGATGAAATTCGCCTCTGAAGGTTGGATGTTGAAGTAGTTAACGATCCCTGGTGTAGAAAAGTCGTCCATCTGATCATTCACGAGAATACCCGTGCTGGTGGATACAAACTTGCTGCCGAACCTGAAAGTGCATTGAGACGTTAAACAAACGTCATAACATTTATTTGTCTTAAGGAAGGGATCCATATCTGAAAATATCAGTTTTTTTACTTGACTGCTGTACTAACAGCAGTTACCTACTTCGTTGTCTAAATTTTATATCATCACGTAGTAGGCTGGAACCTAGGCGACCACACTGTATAAGGAAATGTCAAGGTGGTGTTTACGTACAAAATATTTGTATTACTACTTTTTACAAGATAACTAGACCTACAAACTACGGGTAAAATTTTAATAACTGATCCTTTCGATGTATCTCGACACGTGGAATTAAAACCTTACCACCACACTTCTGCAGTATATGTCAGGTGACTTTAAGTACTTCAGTACTTTTCAATGTAGTTTTTCACCAAATAGCTGGTCTCGTAGCTTAAATGTGGATTTTGAAGCACTCAAACCTACATCATGCTGGGTTTTAAGGCATATTACCAAACTACCAGAATATACGGTGACAAACATACAGCAGATTAAGAGTGCTCGTTACACTGACGGCACTACCGTCTGGAGCCACGACCACGATGTTGTTGGTCCCATGGTCTTCACCATAGTAATCTCCTCCATAGTAGGTGTAGTTGTTGCTGGTCCAGTTTGTCTTGATCTTAGACCTGGTGTCTAAAATGGCATCTTCGTCCGTCAGCATAGTTATCGTCTGTAAAATGACAAAAATTACAAATAATATCAGTCTTGAGCTAAACAGTGTATTGCTTGAAACAACCTTTATTTGATGCTCTTATTCTGTCGGTAACGTCTAGTTCTTCTGGGCTATTATGTTTTGAAGTAACTACATACGAAAATATATTTTCAAAATTACGGTTTCCCCGTCTTTAATTTTATGCATTCTTGCTGTCTAGCTTATGACTTTATTTCTGTTCATATATCCTTTATCCTTCATATTCATTTTGTATAGAAATCGTCGTTGTCTCAAAAAAATTGAACTACAAAAGTCTTTTATTTTAACCGTATTAATTTGAAACAAACAAAAACGTTCAGCCGATACAAAGTGCCGTGTATTCAACACTAAGTGCATATTGCTACTGGGAAATCACAACGACCAGCCGTAAATAGCCGGTATCTCACCGGTTAGTGGAGCAGGTAATGTAATGTGGCCACTAGCGGCAAATGACCATGCAAAACGTGACCGCATTCGGTTATGCATTATGTGTGGTTTGCTAACAACCCAAAACAACTGTTTCTTGTCCCAGTGCTAAATGATTTGAAAATGGGATATTTATGAAAACCAATATGGGCGACCTTTACTATTGATAGTATTATAATATGACTAATTCGTATGAATGAGTAATCGCAGCTTTGAAATAAAAGAGTGGAATATTACGTATATTACATGATATTTTCCTTTAAGAATAAAGTGTGAAACAAGCCTGTCAAATGTTCTTCATACAAAGGCCACCGTAGCAAATCGGCTAAAAACTCCTCAATTCACGATCCTAGGATTACTTTAGGCCAATCTTGTTTCAATATCCATCTAGGACTTTCAACGTTATGGTACGGAATAAAGAGTGACACATTTGTATTCTGTGGTTTTGAGATGGAACTTTTGAATGAACTTGGAATATCGATTGGACTCCATGGAAATATTTTTACGACAGGTAAAATATTGCCTTGAATCTTGTAATCTTGTAAATTATGTGGCACAGTTGTTTGTTATCTTCAACATTTTCTATAATAAAAAATGGGTGTTTAACTGCTTTCTGGAGTAGATTAAGACATATACATAGTATCCTTTTGTCTCCTTATTCCGTTAGCCTACGAAGCACGTGTAAAGACCCTAGCGAAATATTAATTATTGATCATAACTAACTTGTTCAATTAATCTGACTTTACTAACTAAAACTATAGACACCTATAGATCCACCTTTCACCCCTGTAAGTATGTAATGTTTAGGCCTACATGAACAAATACAATAACTATTGTATTGACTATGTTCAACCTTTTCAATGAATTTACGGTTTTAGGAGGGGTGGGGGAATAATAATTACCTCTAAAATTTGAAAGGAACATTTAATTGCAAGAAACACTTAACACGCATAACCCTCGAATATTGACGCCTCATTCATTCATTAAAGTTTAGCCAGTCGAAGAAATAAAAACTGACGAAGTTAGATTGCCACCGATAGAGTGCGCCACTGTAAATTACTAAAGCCTGACAAAATGATTGAATCGGTCAACACGTAACAAATTAAAAATATAAGGGCAACTTATCGTAATAAACAATTGCGTTTTAATGTCAAAGAAAATACATTGTTCATATAATTATTACCACACTATAAGGCTATGACTCATTCGAGTTTTTTATATTTGGGAAAATGTCTACATGTAGATGCGGTGTCTATTTAAGGATCCAATATTCAAAGACCTCTTTATAATCTAGAAAAATTAATGATTTTAAAGTTTAAGAGTAAACTGTGGATTAGAAGGGTTAGTTACCTCATTGAGGAGGGTCTGATTGACGAAGTGAGGGTCTCCCAGGTGGGTTCGACGTCCATAGGCGTGTTTGAACGTTTCGATGATCATCTGAGACCTTTGCAAGTCAGAGTACGCGAACTGAAGGAGGCCATCCAGAACTCTTAAGATGAAGGTCACTAGAATTCCTGCAAAGTAAGAGAAATTGAAGTTCATTATCTACTTTGAAGGGAAAATGTATTTGTAAAGTGAAAACCCCTTGATAGTTCCCTTGCAGGATGTATGCAATTACGCTGCAAAACTACCATCGTTTGCAGTCAACCTTCCTATTATTATATGTAATAAATAGGAAGAATATGTCAACATTTTCATTATTCCCATTAACCTTAGAATAGGTACTGAAGTAGGAATTTTATCCATATGGAACATCTACAGCCCATTTTTATATTTTTGTAGATCCTTTGACTATTATGGTAGATCTCTGTTTTCAAAATCCGATTTCTGCTGTCCTTGATTTCTTTTTTGACTTAAGCGCTTCAAGATATGATAGATTGTTAACAATAATTTGTATTTTCAAATTCATTTTGTTGAATATTTTTTTAATTGTCAGAAATCGGCCGTTGACATCAGGACATCCTGTCGGGTCATTTAGACAACGATTAAAACTGATTACTTCAACTAAAGAATTGTATGACAATCTATTTTATTAGTCTAAGCATGCACTCTTCATGGAAATTTGAAATGCGATGGAAATCGTTATTTTACATTGATTAAAAGATATTGTAGTAACCAAAACTTTTCGTTATGCATAATGTTAAACATTTATACTCTTAGATCGTTTTACAGTATATATCTTCTGTTTTTGTGCTCATAGTCATTAAGTAGACTGTGCTTTAGTACTCTTTTTTCTTAAACACTCACTGAAAATCACCCTAGAAAGGATCCAATAAAAGATTGAACTTGCAGAATTTTTCACATAGTCCAGGCGATCTACGTTTTTTAATCTAAAATTAATGAAAAAATGGATTCTGTAAGTTAAATGTATTGTTTATTGTCAATTAAAATATTATAAATAATTATTCTTTTATTCTTGTAATTCTGGACGTTCTGTAAGCTTAACTATACATATCATTCGTATTTTTTATATGATAAGCAAAAATTTAATTAGAATACAATAAACTAAGATCTTTTAGCACTTTTGGCAAAGAAAAGACATTATTATGTTTTCTGTGCTTTTGGACTCAATCTGTGTAAGTTTAATTTGTTACATAACTACTTTCATTGAAAATACTGTATTTTTCAATTCTCCATGGGCTATTACATATCATACTTTTATTGCTGGGCATTGAATAAGTTTACCTGTTGTTACTCGATGTATGTGTGTTTGTGATTTATATAAAATATCTATATATTAATTTGAAACAGTTTTTCTTTGTGACAGCTAATTTGAGAGAACGGCTGGGCGTAGAAACTTGGTAGAGGTGTCTAAAGAAAGAACTTGGTCTGTAGATGAGCCATCAAAAGAGAAACGTGGTAAATTCCCTTGGGGCTCTGCACCAGTGGCCTTTAAATTCCCATCCCATGTTATTCTTATGGGGGGAAAACGGGTTTTTGTCACAGCTAATTTCAGAGAACGGCTGGGGGTAAAAACTTGGTAGGGGTCTCTAAAGAAATGTCTTGGTCTGCAGATGAGCCATCAAAAGAGAAACTAGGTAAATTCCCTTGGGGCTCCGCCCCAGAGGCCTTTAAGATCACCTCAGCAGATTTGTTTACATTATGAACTTATGTATAATTTTAAACTACTTTTTAATGAAACAGCTGTTAATATTTAAATTGTGATTTACTGAATTTGTCAAAATGAAGTTTTTCTGATTTTAAAATCGATTTTGTTCTGCATCGTGTCATGTATTGCAATATAATGTTGTTATGTTGTAATTTTATAATGTGCAATCCAAATCAGTGGAAAATCCTAATATCACAGTAACTCTTAAAATTATTTTGTTTCTTCATAATATTGCCAAACGGCTTAATCATTTTCAAAATAAACTTATCACACACTTTTATAGAAATTTCTATATTTCGGCATTAGCCTTCTTCAGGAACAAACACAATAACAAATAGAAGTGTTTACCACTCTGAATCATATGGTTTTAGCATAAATCCAAAATACATATAATTTATGAAGAAGTAAAAAAGAAAATGTTTTGATAGAAAGAAAGAAAAAATTTTATATATATATATGTATATATATACTATCTCAAATTTAGACCGGAAGGTGTTTTAGATTTAAGTATTAATTGATGAGCTTGCTCAAGCTGTCTTAATTTCAAGTCTGGTGCGTCTTTTGCCAATTTTCTTATTCCTTTTAATGAATAACATTGTTCAAAATTTTGAGAATGCTCTCTCGCATGAATAGCCACAGGTTTTAGTTTATCAGGATGGTTTACATCATATCTGTGGCCATTCATACGAACTCTTAGAGCATTGGTGGTTTTGCCAATGTAGTCTTTAGGACAATTTTTGCATGAAATTTGGTAAATTACATTAGTAGACTCACAGGTGATGTTACTGTTTATGTTATAACATCTTTTTGTTTGCCTGCTTGTGAAAGTTTTTGATGGGATGATTAATTTGCAAGTGGCACATCGTGGTTTGTTGCATTGATTACAGCCCGAAGGTTTTGCTGAGGGTTGGGAAGTGGGAGGTAGTTTGGGTTTTGAAAGAATGTCTTTTAAGTTAGGAGCTTTTTTGTATATTAGTCTTGGGGGTTTGGAAAACAAATTATGGGTCAGAGGTGAATTTGAAAGAATATTATGTGCCACTCTTAAAACATTATTAACTTTGTAAAGGCCAGGAAAGTATTGGGTGATGAATTTTGGATCTTTTTTGAAATTATCTGTGTTAGGATTTTTTGAGCTTTTTATTTGACTGTCTATTAAATTTTTAGGATAACCTCTTCTGTTAAGTGAATTGCTGAGTTTTTCAATATAATTTTGGTAATCACGATTTTCAGAACAAAGGTTTTTTGCTCGTATTGATAGGCTTTTTGGTATGGATTTTTTAATGTGTGCAGGATGACAGCTTGAGTAAGCTAAGTAATCCATTGTATTCGTATCCTTTACATGGATTTTGGATTTTAACATACCATCTCTAACAAAAACGTCAACATCCAAAAAAGTAACAATATCTTCTGAGAAATTCCAGGTAAATTTAAGGATTGAGAATTGATTTAGATTTTCAAGGAAAGTTTGCAGGTTTTCTAGTCCATGTTCCCAAACCATGAAAATGTCATCAATAAACCTATACCAAATTGAAGGTTTCAACATTTGTGAATTTAGAAAAAGTTCTTCAACATGCCCAACAAATAAGTTTGCAAAAGAAGGTGCCATACGTGTGCCCATAGCTGTCCCTTTCACTTGAAGGTAATTTTGATCAAGGAATTTAAAATTGTTCATGGTTAAAACAAAATGAATTAAGTTTATAATAAAATTTGCACTAGGTTTGGAGTTAACTGGACGTTTTTCTAGGTATTTCTTTACAGATTTTTCTCCTTCTTCATGTGGGATGTTAGTATATAGTGAAACTACATCAATTGTCACCAATATAGTATTGTCCGTTAGTGGGGTGTTTAAGTTCTTAATTTTATTAAGGAAGTCTTTGGAGTCTCTTATATATGACGGTAAAGTTTTCACTAATGGTTGGAGGGTGTCATCAACGAATGCTGAGATCCTTTCAGTGGGTGATCCATATCCAGATACGATAGGTCTTCCAGGTGGTGGTCGAATGGGTTTGTGGACTTTAGGTAAAAGATAAAAAATTGGTGTTCTTGGATTTAGAGGGCTCAAAAGTTTTATAGTTTCTTGACTTAGGTCTTCATTTGGTCCATATTCTTGCAAAAATTTAGAAATGTCATCATTGAAAGTTAAGGTAGGGTCATTTGGGATTTTTTTGTAGAATTCAGCGTCATTCAGTTGTCTTTCTGCTTCTTTTATATAATCTTCACGATTCAAGATTACTGTACTGTTGCCTTTTATATTTGAAACACCTTCCGGTCTAAATTTGAGATAGTATATATATACATATATATATATATAAAATTTTTTCTTTCTTTCTATCAAAACATTTTCTTTTTTACTTCTTCATAAATTATATGTATTTTGGATTTATGCTAAAACCATATGATTCAGAGTGGTAAACACTTCTATTTGTTATTGTGTTTGTTCTTAAAATTATTTATTATGGAGTTAACTTATGTCTATTGTATGGGTTAGTTTCTTATTTTTTTACCACTTCTTGGAGATTGTACGTAGGCGTGTTGCACGTATAGTAGATGATATTCTTTGGCGTGTTGCATCTGTAGACGATACTTGGGTTGGTATTATTACAATGGAAAAAAAGCGAGAAATCCTGGACAATTTGATATAGGCTTACTAAAAAAAAAAACTGAATTAGAAGAAATAGAAATAATGTTTTTTTTATTAATTTATAATCGTTATTATAGAGAACCAAATGTGGCTATGAGTGGGAAACATTTGTAGAAAACTCTTAAAAACAAGATCAGCTTTTGAAAAAAGATAAGACATTTACAAACAATTTTGATTATATCTAACTGTTGTGTACATCGTGAGTATTTCCATAATCTTTGTGTCGACTTTTATAAAGTCGTCGGAAATTATGACCGTTATTAGTTTTAAAATAACGCCTGTAATGCTTCGCAATTGCTCGAATTCGAGCAACAGGTACACTAGTCTATATATTAATTTGAAACTGTTTTTCTTTGTGACAGCTATTTTGAGAGAACGGCTGGGCGTAGAAACTCGGTAGAGGTGTCTAAAGAAAGGTCCTGGTCTGTAGATGAGCCATCAAAAGAGAAACATGGAGAATTCCCTAGATTCCCATACCATGTTATTCTTATGGAGGAAAACGAGGATTTTGTCACAGCTAATTTGAGAGAACGGCTGGGCGTAGAAACTTGGTAGGGGTTTCTAAAGAAAGGTATTGGTCTGTAGGTGAGCTCTCAAAAGAGAAACGAGGTGAATTTTCTTAGGCCTCTGCCCCAGAGGCTTTTAAAGTTCACTCTGCAATTTTGTTTACATTTCGACCATATGGATAATTTTACACTACTTTTAATGAACCAGCTGTTAATATTAAAATTGTATTCAAAGGTCTACTGAAACTGTCAAAATTAAATGTTTACATTATTATTTATTATTTTAAATGGATTCTCCACTGCATGGCAAGTTTTTTATAGTTTCACCAAAATGATGAATACGTTTTAAATGTTTTGTTCAAAAATCAATGCTTTATTGATTTTAGAAAATTTTGGGTTGAAAATTGTGTCATAGATGAGTACGTTGAGGATGAGAGCTGTGTTCAAGTTTGGGAATAGACTAACTACGGAGTCTATGGTTTTGGTAAAGTAGGTGAACTAATGTCAATTCAAGGTATTTAAAAAAAATGTGTACACAGTTTTTACTTTGATGTACACATGTAGCTAGGTCGAACAACGCATCTAAACCTCACTACATACAAACCATTTAGAAACACAACAATAGTGAAAGTGGCTTTGGTATGAAACAAACTCATGAACAAACAATTATAAGACTCCTAAAAACCTTTTGGGTAACATAAAGCCGATAAAAAGGTAGGAAATATTGTGTTGAACGAATTCATCAATCACGTTTTTTAGGGAACGCAATCGTCATACTTAATATTGCTTATCCTCCCTCCATTTAACTAAGATTCTAATGACTTCACTCTATCCATCGCAGTTAGCTGAATTTACATAAAACCTCAAGATTAACCGTCGATTTCGACGGGGTTCCACTAGTTATATATTAGTTTTATTTTTATCTATTAACAAGTATATAAAATTGAAGACATTTTCTTGGTTGTTAAAAAAAAATATTTAATGACGCAGTGGCAAACTGTAATCGGCCTTACTGTCATCTTGAAGGTTCAAACAACTTCTTATCTGTTGGATAATCCAATACATGCTACAATTGAGGGCTTATTTTAACAAGGCGTTTACAATGAGATAAGACCAAGTAGAATCCCTTATAATCTCAAGTACCTAGATGATCTACACCTGTCTTTCATTCACGGGGTAACAAAGTGTCAAATATTACTTTCTTACTGTACTTACTCAAGTAAGTAAGTAAGTAACAAGTGTCAAATATTGGGATTATGAAGAAGGACAAATTTTGTTTTAGTTTCTTAAAGCTATGCAAAAGAGATTTCGAACGAAATTAAATAAATTCTATCTTAGGGTTGACTATGTGTTTCTTACTTTTTCACACTCAAACACTAAAGTAACAAAAAAAAAACTAAATATATATTACCGAAAGTTAGATTTTCACATATTTAAAAAAAACGGACACGGACGTAACTCAAGTTCCATGTGAGATAATCTAATATATTTAATTTTAATTTTATAGGTTATAATGTATTCTACAAACTGTAGCATGGCACTTATTAGGTATTTAAATATTAAATATAATTATAAAACAATATGTTCAAACAAAACTCTTAATTTATGATAAATCGTTTCTTACATAAATAAAGATTTTTTATATTTTGGGCAGAGTGCCCCCTTAAGCGGTAAAAACATCACTTTAGACAAATACAATAATAAAAATATTTTCAAACTGTTTTTGGTATATGAAATATACAGTATTCTAGTTATACTCAATTAGCAATAATCTTAGCAATGATGTTTTGGTATTTACCAGATCCTGGGAGAGCAGAAGAATACACGGTGTTTCCATCTGACAGGGATGCCGTGTACGGCTCCTCCCATCTGACCCTAGGACAATAAACCTATTTCAGAATTATAATACTTATTCACTTTCACGACCATTCTACTTAATTTATTTAAAACAATGAAAATAAAATCATATTCTTTACTACAGATAATCTTTGATCCAACGAATGAATTATGTTTAAGTTGGAGATTTTGATATCTTAAGCAGTATCTATCTGATAATTATTTTTTACTCCTAGTGACGGGGCACTTTTTTTAGTCTTCCTGTGCCGTTGACATAGCGTAACGTTGTTCGAGTACGTACAACTCCTAACTGTTAACCATTGATTGTTGACTTGTTTATAAGAAGAATAATTGATTCATAGTCAAATAGACAATAGACAATAGACAAAACTTTGCACATAACGCCTGACACAGTAATTACCAAAGTCAATTCACAAGCTGGTATATAATCAGTTGGACCTTGATGTTAATTGAGTCCAAAATCATTTCCACAAGTGATGGAATCAGTATGACCATGCCAATAACCAATCAGTTTCTACCAAGCCAGTATTTGTACTTTCTCTTGTATCTAGAACTGCATCACTTAAATACCTCTATATTTCGTGCGTCTTCATTTGGCAGTGGGGCATTACTAGTATTATGACGTTCTTGACCTAACCTAACTTAACCTAACCAAATACACTAGCTATATAATATGAACTATAAACACTTGACAAAGGTTCTTACTGGAAGTTGTTCATGTCTTCTTCAGTGATGATGCCACCTCCCACTTGTATATCTTGCACAAACATCTGGGTAAGACTTCCATTGTAAAGCTCATCAGCCATGTTGGGACTTTCTGCTATAACTCTCAACGTCTTCGCCAACAGGGGCAACTTGAGGTGATCTCCTTCAACTGGTATGCGACCTCCGGTAGAATTCAGGATGATACTCCTAAATAAAGTTGTATAACGTGTTAATGCTATTTTACATTTGCTGTTAAGCAGTATAAGTATACACATTTTTTTAATAGCAAGGTTTATATACACTTTTTGAATACGAGAAAACGAATATAAAAACGCAAAATCATAGATCGTTGTTGCTTAATCATCATACGAGTTAGAAAACCTTGAACCAAAGTAACTAAATTATATCAATCTTATTTGGGTTGCTGCCACTAAAACTTATTGTAGCTTAACGGTTTTATAATTCTGGAAAATGGAACTTTTATTAATGGGTATTTTAATGTAAAGGTAAATATTGGGTTCTAATTCGTCCTAACAACGTTCTCTTACAATTACTAAATTATATTAGTATCCTACGAGAAAGTCATATAAATTCAGGTACTCTTGCACTTGCGTAGCCTACAAGGTACTCTCCCGTTTTGCTACAGTTAACTCCATCCTAAAGGAGAAACTATAGAAGGGCTTTATAATATTACAAATATCACGATATTTCGTATACATTATTTATATCACATGGTTAGTAAAATATGTGATGTAAAATTGCTTAACATTTACTGGATTGTTCTGCACGACGTATAGTGGAATGAACATTTAACTCACTTGAATGTTGGGCTTGCTTGAATGTGAGGCTCTTCTTCAGCGAAGTGTTCCGCAAGTCTTTTGTTGACGGGAACCCCTTCCTCGCACAGCTTGATGGTTGGTTGGAACAGGTCGCTCCAGGGTAGTTTACCGAACCTCTTGTGAGCCTCCTGGTAACCCTTCAACTCCCCTGGGATAGCGGCGGATATTGCTCCTGAAAAAATATGGCATGCTTACTCTCAATTACAACACGTGCATACGCAATAACCATGTTATCCTAATCACTTTAGCATTTGAATTTAAGCACACACGCCCTAACAACACAAACGTGCCGATCGTGCATGCAGTATAAATAAAGACACAACTTACAATAAACATTTCGTAAGGGACGATGACGTAGACTGTATTGTATTGTAGACTGTAGGTTACTACTGTAAATTAGTGGCTCATTTAGCCATATTTTCCCATAGTCTACCATGGTACATTAAAGTCAAAGGTCATACCTAGTTGGGCCCAGTCAGAGTGGTTGACGTACATGTTCTGGGTGGCGGCCGCAGGAGCAGTTTCTCGGGCGACCAGAGAGAACGTCTCCCCCGAGGGTTTGTCGTAGATGGTCATGACGAAGCCACCGCCTGTACCCATGGACTGCATCACACACACTCCGTCACACAGGAGGGTGGCAATGACAGCGTCCACAGCACTTCCTCCCCTCGACAGCATGTCTCTGGTTCAACAGAAAACTGTGAATATGTCGTCAATGCAATATTAGCCTCTTAAATAGTTCGATAAAGTGCGTTTCAGTTGTATAAAGCAGATTATCAATACAGATTCCTTTTATTTTTCAAGGTGTCTCGTTAACATTATTTTCCAGGTTTTCAAGATATTTGAATAACGTATTTTATTACCATACTTTTCCATGGTTTTCTTATCATAGTTGGACAATAATAGTATGGTTGATACATTGTACCAGGTTTTTATCTTTTTCGGACGATATTTTTTATCGTGAATATAATATTTCAGATTCTTATCTTTTTTTAAGTGTATCGTCCTATGAATGAATGAATGATTTATTCCGTTAAATTTGCTACAAAGTACAATGTTTACATTTTTACTATAATATTAAGTTTACAACATAAAATAATCAAGAACAGAAAAAATTACCAAAGTTATGAATATAAGCTCTATAATACGTTTTTATGACTGATGTTGAACTGGATGTCTAACTAATGAACATATTAAATAAAAAAAGTACCTTCCAATAGCTGCACATGGCCCACCCAGACTGACCACGGCTGCCTTGCTGAACACTCCAAGGGGGGTATTCGATGGCGGGAGGGGGGAGAGGACGTCGTAGGGCTCGGGGGTGGAGGGTGAATGCCAGAGGCTGAAGTATATACCGAGGAGCACAATATCAGCCACTAACACCATCAAGAGGAAGCCAGTAATCTTCCAACCGTATCTGGAAACGACAGATAAAATTATAGGTAAACGGCTCCAGAAACACACAAAATCTCTAACTAAATATAGTACATGTCTTTTTTATTTTTGATAGAGGGCCAGGCTTACAAGTAACCATGGGATTGCAGTGCAACTGGAACAGCTTATTGTGCACCCTCATTCACAGGTCCTCATTCTCCGTCAAATCCCAGGTCCTTTGTGAACCATGAGATCCTTTTGACTATCTATGGTGACCTGTTCTTCCCTTTGATCTCCAGTGATCGGCTAAGGGATCTCATTCTTTTTGACTGTACATTGCCTTCTGTTCTTTCCCAGCTCCTTCGATGTTCTCCTACATGTCTTCACCGAGGAAATGTTTATGGAGGAAACTAATACACTGACAAATGGCCCAAACCTTTTTTGTGTAAATATAACACTGATCGAACTATCTACCCTCTCATACGTGTAGTGGAGCTCGACACCACTAAGCAAGCAACACACTAAAGATATAATGTAATATAATGGTAAAGTGCCTTACAAGAGGTTCATAAATATTGTGGAATATTTTTAAATACCGGCTAACAAACGTTTGGAGTTGTGTGTGACGCCTTTCCTCGCTTGTTTCCATTAATGGTCAAAACACCATTATTTATGAGGATACTGCGTTCATGAGCAGTACACCCACTTATGTAATGATAAACAATTTGTCTGATTTACGATGTATATAAGATTTTTAAGCCCAATGACACTTTATGACTACATGGAGATGGTGTAAATAGTGTTTACAACATTCGTAGAAGTTATAAAGGCACTCCCAAGGCTCGTACCTTAAATTTTCTGCTCGTGTCACATGATTGTTGCGTAAACTACTATTTTTGCTTAATGATTTATCCTTAACACAATACTTAAGGGCGGAGTTCATGAAAATAACTTAATTTTTTAAATGCGCTAGACATATTTTGATTTCCCATTAAATTCCATATCCAAAAAAACATAAAATATAAAGACCGTACGATTTTTTTATTTACCTTGATAAAGTTAAAGTTAATAATGCATGGTGGTATTTCAACCTTGTAATGTTTAGTTTTGGGTACCTATTTTAGTAATTCAAATTCACTAAAACCTTGTTATTTCATAAATCATCATTCCTGTAACCTGTACATGTATGTTAGTTAGTTAATTCATACAGAAAAACTATATTTAATCTTGCATTTGGTATCTTATATTGGTTGTTTATTTATTTCGCAAGAGTGGGGCCGCAGCTGATTTCATACAAAGTTGTACTTTTTACCCTAGATATCATAAGGCTCCTCTAGAGAGGTGATTTTTCGATTATTTTGTTCAGCTTGATCAATTCTATGATTTTTGGGATGGATTTGAAAGAAATCCTAATAGGACATAGCCTATTTTAATAATATTTTTTGTTAGTTTTCCACAAAAAAACCTATTTAAAACATACAAAATTGTATAGGATCATTAATTGTTTGTTGCCTTCAAACAAAACCCATCCCACATATCATAGAGCAACACAACAGTTATTAATGATCTTTTATGAGTTTTATCCGTACATGATCTAGTACACCCATTGAAAACGTAAAAATCAGCCCCCCTCCCCCTCCCACAATAATCCACCGTAACGGAAGCCAAACAGATGCAACTGGGCGTTTTCGATACAAATAGACTATCCCTCAAAGCCCGCTATGTATTTTTGAGACACCCTGTATTCATTATTGTAAAAATTAAAACCTTTTTTGTTCATTTAATTTATAGAAGAAATAATGGAATAAATTTAAAAATATGAAAATACCATTAATATACAGAATTTATTGAAAATATTTAACCACTGGTGTTGGTCACACTATTAGACCATAGGAGGGAACTGAAAACTTTAACTTGAAAGTTTAGACGAATACAAATCAAGCATAGAGTAGAGAAAGATAGTTATTATCATTATTATAAAGACGCAGAATTTGTTCAAATACCTACATATTTTATTGGCCTTATTTTAGTAAGTTAACGAGTGTCCTTTATTACTAAAAACATGCAGCATGGTATTATAATTTCACCGACAGTTTGTTGAACTTTTCACGAGTCTAGAATGATTCAAATGAGAGAAAACTTGTTACTGACTTTAAATAGCTGCATCCAAAGTAATAATCATTGATCAGATGTCAAATCAATGACAATTAGGTCTAATTTCAAATCTACAAAGATTGTAGCTGAACCAGACGCCAATGATTGGGCTGATCATTATTTATAATTAGGTCGACTCTTACTCAGTAGACTTCTACTTTCATTCTCTACACTGACTAAATTTGCTTATCCGGTTTTCGTAGCGTATGTAGCAGTCCTTTATGGATACAGGATTTAATTTACATGTAATGGTCATTAAAAATCTTGGTGCTTTGGTTTTATACCGACCATACATAATAAGTATAACCTAACCTAACCTAAGGGGTGGACTATGTTTAGGTTCGGTTAGGAAGGTTTCGTTATTCAACTAATTAAAATCTTATCTGGAAGTCGATTTATTGGTGTGCACGGTAACCGAAGTACCAAAATCATTTATGTTTAAAATAAATATTTTAAGTATTATATTTTTGGTAAATTCCGATTGATCTTCGTGTATATATTTATATTTTTCGTACGTCATTAGCATCAAAATCGTTTCATAAATTATAAACGTCAAAGAACATAGTAGAAGCTAAATAATAATTTTAATTCATTACCTTTTCTTATCTAACTAAAGTTAAAAACTTAAATAATTTACTGCAACAAATATTACTTTAATTAATTTAATTTTAATTTTTGTACCGTATAAATTATTGTTACGTTATTTTATAAAACAAGATACCTTACCTTAATAATATTATCCTCAGACATAATTACGTTCGTTAATATCCTGATTATAACCAGGCTGCTCGCGGGCCTTCATAAATTAATTCACTCACAGTATTTACAAGGCATGCCAATTAAAGTAAATGCACATCAGAATCTCTCATAATGAAATTCCTTCGATGTTTTTCTCAAGTTAAAATTTTACAAGGCAAAAATATATCTAAGGTATAATTTGCTGCGATTGAAAATAGTTCTACATTTGCTGTCAACACTGCTCATTTCCTGCAACATCTTTTCAATCAGTTTTTTTTAAGTTATTTGACAGTTTCTTGACTTTATTTAAGAAATTATCTACAGAAAATTAAATATTTCTTCACGATGTGTGAAAATATAGTATGTGATAAAACTTACTTTGAGACCATGTTGTGGCTGTGGTGAATCCTCTATGTATTAGTATCTGAAACAGTATCATGTATTAAAATATGTATGATGAAACAAAAACACACTCGTTTAAAAAGAATAGCTCGATATAGACGCATAAGCATGTAGGTGAATCTAAAATTAAGTTGCTGTAGGCCCTACCATAAAATATAATATAACGCAGAGCTGTTGAGGCCAAAAAACTGCTTAGGTTTGAGTGGCCAGCTAGGTAAGGTATCATAAAATATTGAAACACCTTTTTAACACGACCTCTGGACTTTATTGATGTGTATTTACGTAGATAATCTATGAACAGATCCATTTGAGAGTCCTTGGAGCCTAGACGTTCTAACTCATAAAAAAATTGATGAACTGTAAAGAACATTTTTCTAATCTCACAGTATACTAGATATTCAAAATTATAATCACTTCGGTGTTTGAAATAGTATATATTTCGGTCCGTGGTACCATTGACTATATAGGCTAACACTAGTGTATAACTAGTGTTATATTGTCAATGGTACCACGGACGCTATTTTTCACCTCACTATACCCCATTACCACTATTCACCACAATAATAATGCACTCTGATAGTAAACACAACTACATTTTTAAGGTTATGTGAATAAATAATTGGATTAATCAGCAAAACTAATAATAAATAGTTGCTAGGCAGCGGTGACAATAAAAAGTTCTATTGCAATGCTATGAATGCTGATTGTGTATTTAATATGCATTTATGTCTTATGAAAATAAGCGGACAGCTGATTTTGCGGCCCTAGGGATGTAAAAACCTGCTCGGTCTCCAAATGACGATGACAGCTGGCATGGCCAGCAAAACGAAGCTTTCAGCCACCAACTAACGTATGTAAAACAGCTAAAAACATCATAGTGAGGTGAAAACATATTTTTGGACGATAAATGACTCTTCAGCAGCTGTTTGAAATAACTTACTTCAAGTTGGCCGCTAGCCTCCAAGTAATCTTTAGTGGTGTAGCTAACAAGTAATGGTTCTACAAATTGATGCACATATATGATGAATCAAATAAAAAAGATGAATCTAAATTGATAAAAAATAAACCGCAACAAAATTAACGTTCTTATTGGAGCTGATTTAATATCTGGTTTAGTATTTAAATGTAAATTGAGTAAGCAGATGTCAGCCAAAGATTTATTATTATTTTAAAATTTAAAGTAGTCTGCAGTGTGCGTACTACTATTTAGCTATACTACCAGAAAATAAGCAGTAGTTTACAAATATATTGTCCTGTTTGGTCTTTAGACATTTGAAGTTATTAAAGTGGCAAGAAATACAATTTTTGATGATGATTGCAATAGGTAATCAGTAATTATAAAATTAACCATTCTTTATAAGTAAGCATGATCCAACAGATTTTCATTATTCGTAAATTGCGGTTTTTCACTTTCATATGTTTATCATTTAGAAGTCTATTAATATAAAACATTTGTTGAACGTTTCTACCTTAAATACTTGGATTGTTTAATGAACTGGCCCTATGATTGGATTGAAGGTAAAACAAATAATCTAAATAACCATACCGTTTTATTGTATTACAAATGGTGTTTTGGATGTACTTGGATACATTTTTAGCCAATATGAACAGCATTATTTATATTTAAACCTTAAATTGTTTGTATTATTTTCAACAAAACTTAAAATTACAAACGAGATAGGTTGGTACACACAACATACCTTATCCTCACCTACCTTGGAGACATACACATGATTATGTATTATTGCTACAGTATTTTTTCAAATATTAAAATTTGGCCTAAATTATTGATACAATTTTATTACTATTTTGATTTAAGGTTCAAGTTAATAACGTACTAATTGCGTTAAATATGTCCCTGAAATGTCACAACCATCTATTTCATATTATAAGGGTTATCTTCTTTCACTTTAGTTATCGGATATGAAATTTCAAACAGTTATCATTAGCTAAAAACAACTCAAAATCCAATTTCCTGGCCTTAAAAATGTAGGGCTATTTCAAAAATGTATATGTATTGCAATATTTATGTTTATTTATGAGTGTATAAAAATTGTATATACAACCCATATCTAGATAAGGAGTTTTGATAAATTGCACCAATATTATTATGGATGCTTTGGTTCCAAACGCTAAGAAACTAAAAGAACCTGATAAAACTGCAACAAACGAAGCGATTGTACTTTAGACATTTTTTTACAAAATGCACTCACAACATTTACACATTAAAAATGAGATAGTTGAGAACATTTTAAATTTACAATGTTTGCATAAATATCTTTGAGTAATTTGTATAGCCTAGTAATAATCAAACACTTCTGCATTAACTTCAACCAGCAAAATAAAATATAACATACCTTAAATCATAAGCTATTCATTCGCCTCCTCACCGTTCTGTAAACGTGTTAATGATAACAGATGATAAGAGCACAGCTGATGGTAGCAATAAAACAGCTGGGAGCCGCCACAGGTGCCACAACAATGAAAGTGTTGTGTGACTACTCTCTCTTTCACTCGTGGTTCCTCGTTCTACCACCAGGGGAATGAAGTGTGTCACAGTTCGGTTAACTCATTCAACGAGAAGATGAACTGAATATTTACAAAACAAGTCGAGAAGGGCGTCAACCAGCTGACTACGATAAACATTTCGTTGTCATGTCAGCACTGTGGTTGTCAAGGTTGCTGCACACGTAAATATCGATTGGTGTTGATTTTACTGGAAATTAGTATTAACAAATAAAGAAACATAATAAATTCATCTCATGTTAGTACAGTGTTTAATCGAATAACTGAATCTTTTTTAAGTTATTATAAGCAATATTTAAATAAAACTAAGTCCTATTCACCAGAATTCTCAGCAAAAGGTTCATCAAGTAACAGACAAACTTACTAAATTATGATAAATCATAAATCCCAAACAAATTTGGCTTTTTGTAGACTGAATGGGAACACAACAATGTTTAGTTAACTGTCTGTATGGTTTACCTATGATGTTTTTTATTATTTACCTATGTATGCGGTGAACGGTACTAATTAAGTATAAATGTGTATTGGTAAATAATTATGAATATTTTTGCGCTCATACCTTGACTATACAGTTCTGTACGAAATAATAATTACACCATTGTTTAGGTAAAACTAAGTTCAATCAATGACGGTTTCTGAACAGCAACCTAAGTAATGTAATTCAATCTAAGGTTTAGGGCAAAATGTTATATTCATCCGTTATGATTTACCTTGTTCACTGTTTTCTGGCTATTTTTTAGCGAATTTCCCATATAGGGAATAAGCTATTACTGTAGGTCTCATGGTAAGACCTAGACCCGGGACCGATTTACTTTTTTGTTTTGAGGTGCCCAGAGGCCAAAAACACCATCCGTTCAAATTCATATATATATATATATATATATATATATATATTTATTTATATATGTGTCCGTTAGCGCGATAACTCGAGCAAAATTGATCCAATTTTGATGAAATTTGGTACAAACGTGTAAACCTACATTTGTTCGAACGAGTTCGCGAACCAGCATAATCGGACCATGGGATCAGGGGTTTATGGGGGGTTTTATGGGGTAAAAATGGGTTTTTCTCATTTTTTACCCTTAAAACTTAAAATTTCTAAATTTCTCTCTAGGCCATTTTGAAGAGCTTAAAAAAACAAATAATTTAGTATATTGAAGTGTTTTTGAATGTTCATTGACTACGGAGAAAATTTAAAAAATTGTAAATTTAAAATTCCCATGTTATTCTTATGGAGAATAAATAAACTGTTCTAGTTTGCTTGTTTATGGATATATTTTAATCAAATTTGGCAATTTGGTTTATTTCATACTAAGCTATCAATATTTCAATTGAAAAAACACATCTCAACATCTTCCCCGTAGCAGCAAACCTAACTACTCACTAAAATTAATGTTATTTAAATCCTACTATAATATTATAAATGAGAAAGTTTGGATGTATGTTTGTGACAAGTGAACGCGAAAAGTACTGGTCGGATTGGGCTGAAATTTAGCATGATGATAGCTCACATTCCTGATTAACATATAGGCATATTCTTATTTCAAAAATCCTTTCGGGCTCCGCCCCAGTGGCTCTGGAGTTTCCCATGTTAACCTTATGAGAAATGGAATTATTGAATCTTAACAGCTGTTTCAATTAAAAAAGTTGGTTCTGTTCTATGATGCTCAATAGCATTAAAGTTACAAGGATTACCAACAGGATGCAGCACTATTATTTCTTTTACATTTATGACAACAGCTAATTTGCAACCAAAAGGTGAGTGAGCGTAGCGAACGAACTTCAACCTGGAGGTGAGTTAGTGTAGCGAACGAGCCAACCTGAAGGCAAGTGAGCGCAGCGAACGAGCTCCAACCTAAAGGTGAGTGAGCGTAGCGAACTAGCTTTAACCTAAAGGTGAGTGAGCGTAGCGAACAAACTTCAACCAGGACGTAATTGAGCCATGCGAACGAGATCATCTTGAAAATTAAGAAGTTAAACGGGGCAAAGCCCGCGGGTTACAGCTAGTAGGAAATAAATCTGAAAATTTATAGGGAATATTTTAGTAGAAATCAAGCCGGGTAAATGGAAATTCGCTTAGGATGCAGGTTTGCTGCGACGGGGGTATTATGTTCTACCCTCACATCTTAGGACGTAGATTTTAGCCCGGAACCGTAGTACATATTATATCAGGCTAGGCCTAGAGGTTTGCGGCATGATAGTGGCAACTTGGATAAAATCTAATGGTTATTGGTGGCAACTAACTGAAACTAATTGAAATTTGGCAAGAAATACTTTGACCTTTTAATCCAATTATACGTATTCAAGGCTGCAGGACATATCAGATATATTTTTGAGATATAGTTCAGATATAGTTGTGTTGAGTTGTGCTAGCATGATTATCACCAATTGAGATAGATAGGAACCATATGGGCGTATTTTAAGAGAAATATGAGTGGAGAGTGAGTGTGGAATGAAGTGAGATTGAGATACCTTGTGTAGCTTTGTTACTGACTAAGACCAGCTGTTTCACAAGAGCCATAATCATTTCATAAAGCCCAATGCTCAAGGACAGTTGGGTCCTCTTTCGAACCATCAGAAAGCTACTAACCTTTCTCAAGATCAATTACTAAGCTGTACAGTGCACACTTAGCTACCCTGTTATTTAAATAATTGTAAGAGCAAGTCGTAATAAGGTATGAGTAACAAACTTTCAACCCTCCAACTGTATTTAATGTTCAAAAAGTTTGAAGCTAAGCAGAAATGAAACTATGGATATAACATTGGGGTTTCTCTAAAGGAAATTGCTATTTGTGTAAAGCGCACAGTACGTCATTGCAGCTCAAGAACTTTAGAAGGCCGTATGAAGCTTTAGCTGAGTGCGGCAATGGATGTTTGTGCTCAATACGGCACACAAGAATTTTCCTCCAACCATAAATAATTAATCATAAAATACATATTAACATTTTAATTCTATACAAAAAAATGTTGTTTAGGTAATGTTTGCATTTTCACAACCAATCAGTTTCACAGATGCATTACCGGAAGTTGGTGTTTTAAAGAAAATGTTTAGTCAGCTGATTTAGCAAGCAGCAACGAATAAAGTGGAAAGTAGCTAATTTGATTACAGTTTACAGGTGTGGCAATGTGATCATTTCCATGCAGTGGTTGGAACAATTTCGTTATGGAAGTAAGCTACACAATTTCAGCCCATGGTAATCCCAGAGTACACACACCATCAACTCAATGGCAAGGCCAGTGTTATCATGGCGTGTGTTTTCCTTGTCTTATCAATGGGATTACAAGGTGGCATTCGAGTTGATTGGATTTGCCATGTAATCCTTACCAATCATGTGTTTAAGAGTTCACGCAGCCTTATTGGGTTTCCCTATGGTAATTTATTCAACAATTGTATGGTTGACTATGAATAGTAAAGTGGTAATGTCATCTAAAACGAACAGCTGTACTTAGTTCTACCACAAATATCTATCTACACAACATAGTAATCTATATATCTATATATTAATTTGAAACTGTTTTTCTTTGTCATAGCTAAATTGAGAGAACGGCTGGGTGTAGAAACTCGGTAGAGGTGTCTAAAGAAAGGTCTTGGTCTGTAGATGAGCCATCAAAAGAGAAACGTGGTAAATTCCCTTGGGGCTCTGCCCCAGTGGCCTTTGAATTCCCATCCCATGTTATTCTTATGGAGGAAAAACTGGGTTTTTGTCCCAGCTAATTTGAGAGAACGGCTGGGCGTAGAAACTTGGTAGGGGTCTCCAAAGAAAGGTCTTGGTCTATAGATGAGCCATCAAAAGAGGAACGAGGTAAATTCCCTTTGGGCTCTGCCCCAGAAGCCTTTAAAGTTGCCTCTTCAGATTTGTTTACATTACGACCATATGCATAATTCTACACTACTTTTTAATGAAACAGCTGTTAATATTTAAATTGTGATTTATTGAATTTTTCAAAATGAAGTATACAGTATTTGCAATGGGTTTTTCTGATTTTAAAATCGATTTTATTCTGCATCGTGTCATGTTTTGCAATATAATGTTCTATTACCAAATCAGGGGAAAATCCTAATATCACAGTAACTCTTAAAATTATTTCTTAAGGATCTAACTTATATCTATTGTATGGCTTGGTTTCTGCCTTTTTTTACCACTTCTTGGAGATTGTACGTAGGTGATATTCTTTGGCGTATTGCATCTGTAGACGAAACTTGGGTTGGTGAAATTATTACAATGGAAAAAAGCGAGAAATTCTGGACAATTTGATATAGGCTAAAAATAAAACTGAATTAACAATATGCTACATTTCTTGAGCAATCATTGAAATAACCGATTTGCAAACAATGGATAGATAGAAAAAGTCATAGAACACAACCAAGTAGAAGAAAAGAAATAACTTTTTTTCATTTATAATCGTTATTATAGACAAACTAATGCGGCTATGAGAGGGAAAAATTTGTAGAAACACTAAAAAACAAGATCAGCTTTTTGAGAAAAGATAAGATATTTACAAAAGATTTTGATTATATCTAACTGTTGTGTAGATCGTGAGTATTTCCATAATCTTCGTGAGTCGCCTGTAATGCTTCGCAATTGCTCGAATTCGAGCAACAGGTACACTAGTCTATATATTAATTTGAAACTGTTTTTCTTTGTGACAGCTAATTTGAGAGAACGGCTGGGCGTAGAAACTCGGTAGAGGTGTCTAAAGAAAGGGCTTGGTCTGTAGATGAGCCTTTAAAAGAGAAACGTGGTAAATTCCCTTGGGGCTCCGCCCCAGGGGCTTTTAAATTCCCATCCCATGTTATTCTTATGGGGGGAAAACGGGTTTTTGTCATAGCTAATTTCAAGGAACGGCTGGGCGTAGAAATTTGGTAGGGGTCTCTAAAGAAAGGTCGGTCTGTAGATGAGCAATCAAAAGAGAAACGAGGTAAATTCCCTTGGGGATCTGCCCCAGAGGCCTTTAAAGTCCCCTCAGCAGATTTGTTTACATTATGACCATATG